TATATATATATATATATCATGGGGGAGGATCCAATGAGTCCACTCCTTAAATGAGTACACTCCTTAAAATGAGTCTACTCCTTAAAATATATATTAATTAAATAATAAAATAATTATTAGTTGACTTCGGCGTTGACCGTTGACTTACGGCGTTGACCGTTGACTTCCGGTGAAAAATCGTTGACTTTCAACGTTGACCGTTGACTTCCGGCGTTGACTCCGGCGTTGACCGTTGACTTCCGGCGTTCACCCGTTGACCCCTAGTATGCATCATATGTATGAAGTAAATATGCATCCAGTATCATGCATTCAATATGAACTAAATATGCATGGGATATGAACTGTACATGTAGTCCTTATGAACTATATATGCACCAATAATATCAACTAAGTATGCACCTGTTATGAACTAAATATGCATCTGTTATGAACTAAATATGCATCATGAATGAACTAAATATGCAGCGAAAAATATGCAATAAAATGTGCAATTTATATAAGTAATTTATGATGCATATTTAGTTAATTTATTATGAATATTTAGGTAATTTATGATGCATATTTAGTTAATACAAAATGCATACTTGTTATATTTAAATTAAATATATAATAATATTTATATAATTAATTTATTATGAATATTTACTTAATTCATGATACATATTTAGTTCTTACGAAAGGCATATTTAGTTCATGAACAGTGCATACCTATTTTATTTGAGATCCAATTATAACAATTTATTTGTGTTATTAATCAATTTAAAATTAAAATTAATTATATAATAAAAATCATTAATTATTATATTTAATTTAATTGTATAAAATGTATATTTTATTGCATATTTTCGTTGCACATTTAGTTCATTTCTGATGCATATTTAGTTAGTAAAATGTGCATATTTAGTACATAAACAGTGCATACATAGTTGATATTACTTGTGCATATTTCGTTCATAAGGATAACATATATAATTCAATTATGATGCATATTTAGTTCATACTAAGTGCATACCTATTTTATTTGAGATCCAATCATAACAATTTATTTGTGTTATTAATCAATTTAAAATTAAAATTAATTATATAATGAAAATCATTAATTATTATATTTAATTTAATTGTATAAAATGTATATTTTATTGCATATTTTCGTTGCATATTTAGTTCATTCCTGATGCATATTTAGTTAGTAAAATGTGCATATTTAGTACATAAACAGTGCATACATAGTTGATATTACTGGTGCATATTTAGTTCACAATGATAACATATATAATTCATTTATGATGCATATTTAGTTCATACTAAGTGCATAGTACTGATGCATATTTACTTCATACACAATGCATGCTAAAGGTCAACGATCAATGTTGAAAGTCAACGCTGGAAGACAACGGTCAACGCCGGAAGTCAACGACCAACGTCGGAAGTCAACGGTCAACGCTGGAGTCAACGGTCAACGCCGAAGTCAATGGTCAATTGTCAAAATAATATTTAAATAATTAAAATAATAAAATAAAGAAATAAGTAATAAAAATAAAGAATTATTATTTAATTGAAGAGTTAATCTTAGTCACACATAATGTACCAATCTAATGGCTAGGAATGGGTCTCACATTCACACTTTAAACATGTGTACTCATTGGATCCAATCCCTATATATCATATTAATATTCTCCTCATATAATAATCATATTATTATTTGGATTTGAATTTTAAAATCCTATTTTAAAATCCAACTATTAATTTAGTAATTACACTAATCAC